TTTTTTTTAAATACAGTTCAGAACAGATGTTCAAGCTCTTTCAAGAATAAAATTTTACTTCAGGAGGTATTCAGTGTCTGAGCTAATGCTTCTGTGCAAGATACTAATTTAAGAATTTATTAAAGCAAAAAGGAAATCATGTGAATTTAGCTCTAGTGTAAGTTTTGGAGCCTGGACTAGTCAATTATTTTGATGTTAATGTGTATTTTTAGGATTTATTTATGTTTTTGAGGGGTCTCAACTCTACTTCTGCTTTCACAGCTGGAAAGAATTGTGAGAATCATTTGAAGGGTGAAAATGCCCTGTGTATGCATAATAATATAAATATATGGTGTTGCACAGGAATTTTTATGTTCAGATTCTATATGTAGAGGGTGATCTCTGGTATGAGGAATACCAGAGGGAAAATAAATGCAATTCCCCAAATGCCGCATAAACACTGGGTTTTTCTGGCATAAGCTTCCCAAACACTGGGCTTTTCTGGCATAAGCTTCCCTCCCTTTCTGAAGCCAGGGGAGCCCTGTTGTAGCAAAAGCTCTGGCAGCTGTTAAATCCTTAACCTGATGTTGTTAAGATCTGCATTAAATGTTTTTTTTTTCTTTTTTCTTTTTTCTTTTTTTTTTTTTTAAGGTAGGGTAAATCTCGAGCTCTCTTTTGCATGAGTCTTTCCAGTGTTACTACCATTAAAGGACTTTGCTGAAAACCTCTCTATAAACAGAATAAAAAAAGAGCACTAGAAGCAAACATATATTTTGGAGGTATTTCCCCCAAATATAACTTGCATCGGGGTATGGCAGCAGCATGCCGTTGTCTGTATTCATTATTATCAGTTTGGAGGGTCTCTTCTGTTCTCACTGAATTTACTTGCGATTCACTCATTTATTTTCCTTGGAAGGCATGTATGTAACCTCTTGGTCCCGGCTTTCCAAGACTGAGGTGTCAATGTGATACCTCTTGATTTCTCTGAAAGCATCTCTGTGAGAAACGGAATTATGTAGAAATATGAAGCTTCTCTCTGGGAGAGCTCTTGATAATCAAGTGGTTTTGCTACAGAGAGATTTTCTTTGTCTAGTGGGATATTGAAATAGCTTTGCAATTCTGTTTGAAGAGTCAAAAATTCCCCTTTCACGCAGGCTTACCAATCTGTTCTCTCCTGATAAAAATCCTTGTGTACGTAAGGAGTCACAGACAAAGTTTATGGGAGAGTTGTTCAGGCAGGACAAGATATGGTAGATAAATGACTGTGTTGCTTATGCAGCAGCAGCTAATACGAAAAAAATAAAAAAGCACTGAGGAAGCACCTGCCGGATTAGCGGGTGTATAAAACCTCAAACAGATTCAGCAAAAACATCCTGCAAATCTGTCTTTCCTTTGCTCTGGAGTAAGGTAACAGTAGGACACAGAAATGGATTGTGTGTTCTCAGTTGATCATGTAAAAGCAGCTGATTTAAAGGAGCCTCTCAAATGCTATTAAGGCATCATAATGCTGTTAAATGATTGCTTAGATCAAGGTAGAGAGAAGTTTAAATGCTTCATCTAGATTCAGTGAGGCAGAATTGCTAGTCGGAAGAGACCTTTCCAGTGAAGCTAGTAACAGTGGAGAAGCAGTTCATGCCTCGCTGTTATATCCAGTGATGATTTGAAAGCGGCTTTGTGGCCTGTGACTTTTGTAGTGATGAGCCCTAGAGACTCATAGAATTATCATTTTTAAAATTGTTGTTATTTGCACATCGGTTAAACTTTTGTTTCAGGACTTCAGGGGATTCTGTCGTCTAGTTTGACTGATTTCCTGATGAGCGTAGTCTGAATCTTAGAGTGAAACCCGAGGGTTACGCTCCCAGCTCCGTCCCTGCTTGCTGTTGCATGGTGAATCCCCTCCTTTGTCTATGCCTCAGTTTCCTTAGTTGTGAAAGTCACCAGTGTTTTGATGAAGTGCTTTGATGTAAGTGTGAGAATGCATGCATAGAAATCATGCTACTCTTGTGAATTGTATCATTTGTGTGTAACACTCATGCAGGACTGTATCAGTGACCTCCTGCCACGCTGAGATTTGCAAAGAGTTTAAGGGGAGTCTTTGAGTGGGGCAATTGGGTGCCCTATTTCTTTGGCTCCGTTTTTGGAAATCCTAGTTGAAATCACCTACTACTTAATCGCACATGGAAAGACTCTTTAGTTCCTGAGGGGATTTTACTCATTCAACTTTGCTGCTAGCAATCGTTCATGTTACATTAGGAAACCACAAATCCTGACCTCAAAGTGTTGAATACATATTTTTAAAAATAGAGATGGGACAGACAAAAGAAGACTTCATTTTAAGTCTTTGCCAGAAACAAATTTGCATGCTGCAAAATATTACAACAAACTTTGAGAAATAATTGAATTGATTTTTTTTTTTAAACACAAACTGCTAAAAACGAAGTACACTGTGACAGATTAACTGTACATATTTCAGCATTTTTCATCCTTGCCTAAGCAAATAGGATATTTGTCTTAAAGAGGCAGGAGGTTATTTTCTGATATACTTTAGTGGAGAATTACAGGTCGTAAATGCTTTCTAAAAGACTCATAATCTAAAAGCCATAATCAATAATCTAGAGCTGATAGAGCAATATGGAAAACAAATGTTATACATGCACCCCCCACTTATTTTATATATGGCATGCAGTTAAACAGCAAAGGATTTGAGAGATGAGTTCAGTGGAGGAGCACCAAGGCTTGTTCAGCCTGGAGAAGAGATGGCTTCCAGGAGACGAGATGGCTTCCAGGAGGCCCAACAGCAGCTTTCCCATGCTGATGAGAAGCTCATCATGACAATAGAGCCAGGCTCTTCAGTGGTGCATGGCAGGAGGATAAGAGGCAATGGGAATAAGCTGGAAAAGAGAGGTTCATACTGAACATAGGAAAAACTTTTTCACCTTGAAGATAGTCAAGCAGTGGAACAGGTTGCCCAGACAGGTTATGCACTCTCTGTCCATAGTGGATCTCAAAACCCGATCAGGTAAAGCCCTGAGAAACTTTGTCTGACCTCCAAACTGACCCTGCTTTGAGTAGGAGGTTGGACTAGAAACCTTCCAAGTCTCTTGCAACTTGAATTTTCCAAAAACCCTCCACAGTTGGTGGATGTGGTCATAGCTGGTTGCTTGACGAAAGTAAGAAGGACTCTGAAGTAGTAGTAGTATTTTTATTGTACAGTCAGTGTCAGTGAGAGATTTGTGTCATGTGCAGCGGTATGTTTACCCAGTTTTGAACGGTTTTCACTACTAGCTAATTTTATATTATTTTAGTTTCAAGGCACCTGTAAGAACTAGCATCTCCACAGAATTCAGAGCCTCTACATACACACCTGCCTTGGAAAAGCTAACGTGAAGGCCACCCTGAGAGCGGCTCACACTAGTAAGCTGTTTCTCCTAGGATTTGCTCCGTAAAATCTTGAAGTGTGAGGTATAGAGCACTGATGAAATAAAATTCATGTGATCCATTCAGATGAAGTTGAAAGGGCTAGGTCGGATCCGTTAGACATATTCAAATCCAGAGCGATTTCCCTGCATCCACGGAAAATTTAGCCCTAGTGTTTCACTACTTCTGTAACTACACATGCAGCTCAAGCGGAGTGATGGTGGTGTGTCCTGTATTAGTGTGCTAGAGCGCTGCAGTGGACATCTTTCCACTGTGTCGAGTAGTTTAAAGCAGAGCAAATCAGACCTTCTGAGCAACAGTATGAGCTTTCTGACCCACACCCACAAAATAGTTTAGTGATTAAACAGATACCGAAACTTAGACAGATTTTACAGCCCATTGAGTAAGAAAGTAGGAAAGGCTGGTAACACTGGGATCTAAATTATAGCACATGTTCAGCTTTTCCTGGAAAATATGTGGCAAATCACAGTGATTCTCTGATTCTTTTCATAGCTCCATACCATAAGGTGTGCAGCGTTCAGCTGTGCTGTCAGGCTAATGGAGGTCTGTCTTTTTATTTGTCTTTCGTGTCATACTGATTCATCTCTGGAAAACCCACATGCTGGGAAATTTTTGTCTGTTGAAGGGACTGATGTGTGTGTCATCAAACCGATAATTGCAGCATGCCAGATTCTGCATGCAGGTTTCTGTGACAGTGAATGGAGACAGAATTGCTCTGGAAGTGTTTTGTTTCAGATGCTGAATTCGTTGCGACTAAAGCTCTTTAGTGGAAGGTGGTATTAATGGTCACGTATAAATTATTTGAAAGCTATAGTTTACTTGTCAGCTGTTCATTAAAAGTGTTGTGACTTGTTATATAAATATGCTTTCTACAGTAGGATCTTCAAATGTTATGAACTCTGATGGTTTTACTGGCTTTGCAAATCAGTGGGATTCTGGATTTTTCACTGGGCAAAGTATGGCCTTTAAGAAACAACCTCACTCAGCTTTTTTCCTCCGCCTCTCCACTCAAAAATTCCACTCACCGCCCCCAGAATTGAAGATACGGCCATTTTCCCTTGAAAGCTCTTGTGTGGTAGTGTTACAATACGCTTCAGGGCTTATCTACATGAGGTATTTTCCCTGTAGCTAGTATGGTACTGATGGCAAAAAAAAAAGAGAATCTGTAGGGGTTTCGATACACGTTATCAGTATTCAGTATAGTAATTATTTAAAATGTCTTTTGGATCTCAGTGTCTCTGATCTAAAAAAATGCTTCATCTGAGTAGACTTACTAAAATCAGTGGGACTTTGCACATGCTTACCCTAAAGTATGTGTTTAGTTGTTCTTAAAATGGGGAGAATCTGTATCAAAGTCAACAGGGCGAAGACTTCTAGAGATGATAATGTTGTAAAGCTGTCATCCATTTAAAAAGATGCTGCTGATGTTTGCTCTGAAGAGCTTGTACTTGCTGGAGACGAGATTCATTTAGAAAAAAACATGTTATCAATGTGATATACCACCTTTATTTATTTTAATGTATCTTTAAAAGATCTGTCAGTATATACTTCCCACAGTGTTTTTTTTCTTCCATATTGTACAGGTACCTTGAGTGAGGACACCGGACCTAAAGATCCATATCCCATTCCAAGAAAGATTATGGCTGAACCAGACTACATAGGTGATGACAATCCTGAGTTAATTAGACCTCAGAAATTAATTAATCCTGTGAAGTCATCCCGGAATCATCAGGATCTCCACAGAGAGCTGCTTATGAACCAGAAAAGGTAGAAGTGTAGAAATAACTCTTTTTAAAACAAAACAAAACAAAAAACCTTCCTTGAGTGCTAATTTCAGCAAAAAGATATTTTACCCAAAACCCCGCAGATGCTTTTTGTTGTTTCAGATCTTGTGGACAAGAAGACTTTGTGATTCTTGAACTTGGCATTTACTTATGTTTGAGGTGCAGTTAAGTTGGTCTAACCCTCTTTTCCTTGACAGTTGTATCTTCTTTGTAGAACTTAAATGTTTGTTTTCAAACAACCCTTGCTATCATTTTAATATTAGATCATCATTTCAAAAGCTTTGCTCATTTTGTGTGCTGTTGTGTTTGTGCGGCGTAATCAGTGGTTGACCGTACACCAGCTGGCAGGTGGGACACTTTGCAAAAGGGTGGGATATATAAATCAATATTATTTGCAAAATACTGGAATAACAGTTGTAAGAAAGCTGTAGGCTGCCCCGCTGTTTCATCTGTGGGCATTGGGCTGACCTTAGGCCTTCCACATCTGTTCTGCTGCTAGTCAAAGAATATACTGAGAAAGTTGAACAAGATCAGTTGTTGATCGTGCAGTGAGGCTCTTCAAAAGCTTACTGTAAGAGGTTGAGGTTTTTCATTTTGTTCTTGTGAATAGACATTATGGGTAAGTTTTAGGAAAAAACAGTTTTCTCCTGTCGTATTTCTTTGTGTCACAGGGCACTGTAATTTGTCTTGGGTTCTTAACGACTAGATTTTGTCAACTGTTTGATACCATCAGAATCATACAATCCGTAGGTTTTTGCCATTCCCAGCAGACTGAGTTTAGGAGGCCACTCTTTCAGATGAAAGATGAAGTAAATAAAGAAGAATTTCTTAAAATGCGGTGTGGTAGTGTGATGCCGGCTCTGCTGCTGCACAAATGTTTCCTTGTATGTTATGCAAACACTGCTCCCTTCATTCTGGAATGGGATGCGCGGTTGTTGCTTTGTGTACCTGTTTTGAAGACGCGAAGAGCTGGAGTTTGATTCCATCGGCTTCAGAGAGTCAGGGACTCGGCCCAGAGGTAGTTGAAGCTGTGTTATCAAATCTCCTCAACAAAGGAGGACTCGCTTAGAAAACATATTAAGAGAATAGCCGTGCAACTGCACGAAGGAGAAAAAGCTGCCCAACCTATGAGACTTGTCAATTAAAGAAACAGAAACGAATTCCAATTTAAATTAGCGATTTCATGGAGATCTCCTGTATTAACTTGGCATCAAGAATGCGTGACTGTCCTAACAGGAGTTCACTTGGTGTCTTCCTGCCTGTTCTGGGAAAGATTAATTTGAACTCGCTATTCAGGACTCTTGTTTATGAATCTGTTGCAAGATCTATAATTTGAGTCCGAACACAGGCCTCGGAACTTATGTGTTCCTTGCGTAGTGACATCTGGTACAAGTCTTTTAATCATCATTTTTGCATCTCTTCCGTTGACTTTGTTGAACGCTACAAGGGGATTACAATGTGGACACTGCTATCTCAGGAAGTGGGTTAGACTTCTTTTGCTCCCTTCTCTTTTGGCCTCCTTGGTTTATCTAATTCATGTCTAGTCTGTGATATTTCACTCATCACTACAGTAACAGATGCATCTGGAGTATCTTCTTCTCCACAGACTTGTTTACAGAAAAAAGATCGCAGCTGTGAGTTGAAGCCACTCAAAATATACTTTTCCATGGGCAAGGGTTTGGGGATCCACAAACCCAAAGGGGAAAAACAATATTTCAGAGTGTACTTCATAATAACAAAGTTACCATCAACAGCCGTTCAGGCTTTTTGAGACCAAGGACCTTGACAGAGATGAGGCAGCTATTGCTTTGGCTTCTCCAGCGTAACTGGATTTGCATATTTGGCAGGAAGAGTCACATTCTGAAAGTTTCTCCTTTTTGCCTTTGACACTATTATTTTGAGGAGAGAAGAGGGTCCTTTCTGTATGCAGTAGCAAAATCCTGAGAAATGCTAGGTTTAGATACTTGATTCTAAATGAATTGCACACACAATACAGCATTCATCGAGTGATGAAGTAGAAATGTTTCACAGAGTGCCAACTGAATTGGAAGAAACTGGCATGTAGATGTTTTTCCTATTTTTTCATTAATGGGATTAAACTTCAAAGTCAGTTTCTAGCACCAAGAAGTTTATAGGCATTGAAAGACAGATAGTTGACGTTTCCTAGCTTAGGATCTTATTCTAAAGCTTGCGGAGGCTGCATTAAATTAAGGCTGCTACTTTTTTCTTTTTTTTCTTTTAAAATTCATAAAAGCATTAGCTGCTTTCAAATAATATGAAGTTCTTTTCTTTTATAAGAATATCCTATTACACAGAAGAGTTGTGGTGCCCTCAATACCCACTCTTTTCTTTTATTATGATGCTGATTAGCTGCAGCTGTTAATTTTAGATCCTTATTTAGTGGGGCAGAAATGAAATATTTTGAAGGTTTTCACCAGCAGAGAAACTGGTATTTCGGAAAGAGTTAGGACTCTGTGCGACCTCTAGTATGAGGCTTTTGTGTAGTATAGATATTAGGCTGATGTTCCGCTTTGTTACTGTAAATTGCCATATATATGAAAGGATTTCAGTGTTCTTTCACGGAAGTGTTGCTTAACGTGCACCTTACTTCATTGTGAAGACTTGTAGGCACCCAGAGCTTTGATTTTTGACCAGTCAAATCTGAACAGCGTTTCTGGGTCTTAGAAGTTATTAGTCAGTGCTAATCCAATCAGTCTTCATGCCTAACGTAAGCAGTGTCCGTTAGGTCTTAAATTAATAGTTATTTACTTTCAGAAATGGTAGTCGTTTTGGACAAAGATGAAGGTAACGGTAACTCTGGGCACTGATCACTTACGTTAACGTACTTCTACTTATTGGGGGTCAGCCTTAGCTCTGCAGGCCGTTGCGCCCTTTCCTTCCAGAGGTTAACGCTGTCAACTGACTGCTGTTAAAGAACACCTTGCTTAGTTTGTACCTAAGTCTTAGGATCTTTCATTTAACCAGAACAACCACCAAAAGGCGATAGAAGCTGCCTGTTTGTTGCTTTTGCTTTTTAAATATGAGAGTGAAAACGGGATCGAGGTTACGATTATTCTGTCACAGATCTGACTGCCAAACCCATGTGATTAGACTGAGAGGTTAAAGCTATTTTTATTTTCTGTGGCTGTTAGTTGTCCCTTTTGCTACAGCACATCTAAATCACTCTTGTGGCTCTGCTTTGTTAGGTGTGCAACCTTAGCAGAGAAACCAGGAGTGAGCACTGTTACTTTGCAGTTTGCATCTGGTTCCTTGCTCTCTTGGTCAGTGTTCCCTAGCATAGAAATTTCCAGTGACTTAGCTCTCGTTCACCTAGTAGTAATGGGAAAAAGGGTAACTCCAGCTTTTCTCTGCTTGTCTTAATTCTTATGCCTTAAAATGGCAATTAAAATAGCATGAAACATTAAACATTAACAAAATCTTGTGACTTCTGTTGCATTCAGACTGTGAGATATATTATGAAAAATACATAGGAAGAATACACAGAAGTGTATGTACAAGGATAGACTATTGCCTAATATATAGTCATTCATAGATGTCATGATAAAATGGCTTTTTAATATATTTTTAATATATTATTGGACAATATTATATCCATAATATTGGATCTATTATGCTGTCAGATAGTCATACTGCAGAAGAATTAGGCTACCATAGAAATCTTAAGTAGGGAAGGGTGCAGATTACAGAATTTCTTGAAGTTGAAATTAAAAATGGCTGATGTTAAACAACGTTGAATGTTTTTGTGTAACAGTTCACAGGGAAGGTGACAGTAACAAAGGCAAGTTTCAGGTGTTTCTGCTCTGGCTTAAGTGACATAATAGCTGAATAATGGGGGTATCTCTGAATCTTATCATAGTAAATTTTGAAAAATTCATAGCTTAACAGAGATGAAAGAAAGAGCTGACGTCACAAAAATAAGTGTGCGTTTGTGTGTATAAATAGTCACACATCTTCTCAGAGAGTAAACTTTCTCATTTTAGAGTAGTTGGCTCAGAAAACGGTTTGCACAGAACAGACTTGAAAGAATCAATTGATGTACTGGCCAAAATCTTGCAAAGGGGAGAAACTTCTCCCCTTTTCCTGGTCTCCAAGGTGACTAGGAGTTTTTAATTCTGGATTTTTGTTGTCTCGGCCTCTTTTTTTGTGATGTTGATTTTAGCTTGGCAGTAGCTTAACAACCAGCCATAACTATAGTTCTCAAACTTTGAAGGACGGACAGAATCCTCAGTTTCCAGGAGCAGCGTGTTAAAATCCAAATGGAGACTGTTTTTTAGTTCTGTCCATGTGATTTTTTTCTCTGGACACAATTTTTCCAAATAAACTGGCCAGCACCTGATGCAGTCTCTCCCAAATTTTTGTTTCCAGGTCTGTCAGCATTTTCATTTGAGATAGTTTTTAAATCTGTTCGTCTAGAATGGAGAGATCAGAGGGAAGACTAAAGATGAGAAGAGAAACAGTGGATTATCCGGGAGTAATACTAGCATGCATGTTAAAAGAAAATATCCTTCAGAGTAATGGGGCTCAAATTCCAACCTAGGATTTTGGTTAGAGACCACTAAAATTTCTGTCTATTTTTCCCTTTTAACTTATGTACCTACATAGGCGTAAGTTGATTTGAGGAAAACCTGCCTTCAATTCTGTGTGAATTCCTACTTATTAAAAGTGATCTCTTTCTTCCCTGTTTCCTCCCCCCTTGTCCAATTTAAACTTGAAGGGGTCTTGCACCTCAGAACAAGCCAGAGCTGCAAAAGGTGATGGAGAAGAGAAAACGAGATCAAGTTATTAAACAACAAAAAGAAGAGGAAGCACAAAAGAAGAAATCAGACCTGGAAATAGAGCTACTGAAACGGCAGCAGAAACTGGAGCAGGTGAGATGGGAAATAACACTAACTTGACACATCTGTGTCTGAGCTAGGCTCCCTTTGTAGACAGGAAAGAAGCAGCAGCTTGTCTTATGGCACAATTCGTCTGATCAAACGCAGACATCTCTTTCAGGGTGAGTCCAATCACATTGTACAATGACCCTTCTTTCTGGTTACGTAGGAACTTCATGCAGATGTCTGCTTTTGGTCAAATGAATCCTGCTCTGGACAACAGGAACAGGTTGACCATATGTGACCATTGAAACTGTGGTGAATTATTCATCTTTTGTAGCTTTTAATTTAAGAGATGATCTGCTGAGAATGGATGTTAGACTGCTGTGCATCAAAACTGTATGCTTAATGAATAAAAAAAAAAAAATCAGTTGATCCTTTGCTCAGGGTAAGTAAGAGACTAGGCAACTTAAACAGACTTTTTGTAGCCTTAAAATGTTTGAGTCTATTGGCAGGCTTTATCAAACGAAGACAAAATCCTCAGATCCTAAGCGCAGAGATGATGTGGAGTTGTAGTCCATTGCAGTGACACTTATTGCTAAGTATAGGGCCAGCCAAAGGTCTCTGAGCCTCCGAAGGCACTTTGTGTATACGCAAGGGAAAATATCCACCGTGGAAACAGCCTCATCAAGGAAGTCACTCTGCGAAAGCATTACATTTATATTTAAATAAAAGAATGTTTTAAAATAGTCTCTACTGTTTTTCTTAACAGAAATCAGTTAAGCCAAATAACTGTCCTATTAAAATGATTTATAGTCCAGTCATTATTTAGGGTTTGGGTTTTTTAATTATAGCTTTTTTTTATTAGATGCAGAAATATTTCTGGGGGGAGAAAGCGATTGTAATTTCAAGGGTATCCTCCTGTCACTTTTCCCCCTCTGCTTTTTAAAAGACGGGGCCAACTTCAAATTGTTTCGATTGTAGGAAGATGCCTGACTTCAACTCGAGCCATCCGAGGACATACGTAGAATAGACAGTTTTCTTGGAAGAGGAAAAGCTTGCCCATTGCTCGCAATGTTGTGACTTTGCAAGCATCGTAGGAGCGACGTTGTTTGATAACATGAGGCATGGAGGAGCGTTGCCGTGAATTACTGTGACAAGGCATGTCCCTTATCGATGAGCCAGAGACAAAGGAGAGATTATTTAGGTGAACAGTACATGGTCCCCGTTAATCTGGGAGGCCTCGGTGTGTTTACAGGAAAAGCTCCTTTCAGGATTACTTTCACTCTTAATTTTTGAAAGGTTTGTTTCTTCCTTTCTGCTGACTGACTTGCCCTCACTGAGAATTACTAAGCCGTCCTTACTCCATGCAATCTGTGAGCAATGATCTGTGTTGAAACCACAGATCTGTCCTCTGCGGGGCAAGGCTGTATCTTGCTTCATAGATAACTTTGAGTGTCTACATGGGCAGGATCTCCAACTGGGTCAAAAATGTCAGCGAATGGACTCTCAGAACTGAACAACCAATGGGGTCAGGGAAGTTTAGGAGGCTTCTTATTTTTATTGATTTTTGTGATAGGCAAAGCAGACATACCAGAAGATGCTTAAGTTAGATACTTAAATCCATACCTAGACACTCGGAAATAAAATCAGCACGTGCGCTCTGTAATAGCGGTTCATATGCATTCTCCCATGAGACAGATTTTTCTTGTTCTGCCCAAAAAGCCAGAGAAGGGAATTACTGTTATTTCTTTAATGAAGATGTCCAAGAATGTATTTAAAAAAGCGTTACCTTATTCTGTTACTGGGCTAGCAGGGTTTTTGTCCATCTGGCAAAGGTGTTTGCAGGCCTGGTGGAATGAGCTGGAGCCAAGGATTTGAAAAGATTTATAGTTTATGAGAACAGATATTCCCAAAGAAATACAACTTTATCTTTTCCATGATGGAAGGAAAGGAAGTAATTTAAAACATGTTTTGCATGACCAGTTATTGGGGTCAAATGTCTCTGTCTAGACTGAAATCTTTTTTTGTGTTGTATTTCAATGACCTATTTTATATACAATTTTTTTTTAATCCATTTTAAGCTGGAACTTGAGCAACAGAAGATGCAAGAAGAGCAGGAAAATGCACCGGAATTTGTCAAAGTCAAAGGCAACTTGAGGAGGACGGTCCAGGAAGCAACAGATGCAGCGGACTCCTAGAGCCAGCTCCTGCTTACACTTCTGGCGTTCCAGCGGTGGATGCAGAGAGGCTTCTGCAGGTTGTCTCAGATTTCCTCCTCAAGAGGGAGAGTAACAGTATCCAGGTGACACTTGCTGAAGAAGAGATTTTTTTTTTTTTTTTTTTTTAAGTTCCTGGGACGTGTGGATTAAAAAGACTGTAATGTGAACAGATTGACTTGCCAAACGCAGTCCTGAGACCAACGGATGAGGAGTCTGTGTGTCAGTTTGGTGTCGTGGACCAGTCTGAAGTGCTTGCTCGGAGATTTGAACCAGGGATACTAGAGAAGCTTCTTCAGTGTTGCACTGCTCTATCTCTTATGAGCCTAGTTTAATGGAGATACCCAGATTATATTTCGCTTTAAAACAGAACAAAAATCCTTTTGCTGTGCAGGTAAATTCCCTCTTCCTAGCCCTGCAGCTTGTGTATAGCCCACCATAATTTGCATTTAATTTGAATTTGGGTCAAATCTGGCAGGAAATGAGGTATGTTCATCATCACTGCCAGTCTGCACCAGGATAGATAGGTGTGTTAGGGAGATGAGAATGCTTAAAATTCACCAGCAGCGAATAGCTAAGCAACCATAAAGCCCGGTTCTCCCTGTTGAGAATGTGGAATTTGGGCTATGAAAGAGCAGAAATCTGATGATCCTTCCACTGGGGAAAATCCACAAGCTAATTTCTCTCTGTCTTTAAACTTTTCCCTTAAAATATCATGTACAGGCCCATGCAGTGCTACCTGTGAATTTAGCTCTGTTGTTTCTCAGTGCAAAATGATCCATCTTCTAGTTTTTGTTTTGAAATCCTGCTTACTTTGTTGTTGTGGCCTTTCTCCTCCAAGGACATGTTGATCTGAATACAGTGTTAACACGTTGTTTGGTGGTGTTTAAATTCATTTCCTGGGACTGAACACAGAGATCTGATTCTGTCATCAGGTCCTGCTTAGTTGTTGCAGGAACTTGTTGCAGTTCTTGCAATAGAGCAGGATTTAAACCAGGCCAAACCGATTATTAGCATCTACTGAGAGGGAATTCTTTTTCCCCAAAGTGAGACATAAAATGAAATTCATTTTATCCCATCTTTCCTCATGCCTCAAGAAAGAGGGGAAGTGTGTTATCACCGAGTCTCAGAGTCCAATTCTGTCACAGTCTGCCTTTCTGCAAGTTGCCCTCCTGACTTGCCTTTGAATAAAATACTACAATCTTGCATAGGGATGGCAGATCTGATCCTCTGTGCTTATGACTACTAGTTACCCGGGAAAGCCTGGGGTGAGGAGTGCAGAACAGATTACTCATACAGGAATATGGAATTGGTTTCTTAATTGGTGTGAGTGGGTGCGGATAACTTAACTTGAAGTCGAGGATAAATCCTCATCTTCCTCGAGTGGCACATTACCAGCTCTCACTGAAGCTGTGTTCATCCATACCAGCTGAGTATCTACTCATAGTCTTTGCCTTAGGATGTTAAGCAAAATAATTTCTGCTTTGTAATTACATTGAGCATAACTACTTTAGAACACTTTTTATTAATGTCAACAGTGGTGTGTTTGTGTTGCAGAGGTGATGGGGGAGGGTTGGTTTGTTTGCTTTTCAGTTTCTTTTGCCTTTCCAGTAGATACTGGAGATTTTAAATACAGTTTCAGCTGAGCGCTTGGGACAGAATGCTCACAGTTAGCAATGTCTCCTAGGAACAGCCCTCCATTTGTCAAGATCTAAGCATTTCTTACGCAGACACAATCCAATTAAGAGTAAATTAAATTGTGATAAGTGTATTGCCATTGACTTAGATTTGCAGTGTGACTCACGTCTAGAAGATAAAATGTGAAGATGGTTTACCAGACTTCAGATTGTGGACATGCAAAAGACAAAGGCCAAACGCAAGACTCTCCTGTGTATTTTCCTCAACAAAGGAATACCTTAACTGCTGCAGATTCCTTCTCCTTCCAGAGGAAGGAAGAGGGGGAGGGAGGATCTTCATTTCTGGCGGCACATTATTCTTACACTTGCACTGATTGAATTTGTTTCATGGTGTTGACTGTTGAGGCAGCACTGTATACTCTTATTTCCATACCGCTATTGTTTTGTCTTAGCCATTCCCTGCCTCCAAACTTCTTCATGTGTGTTGGTTTCCACTCTGCTGTTGCCTTCTGTTCAGTGTGGAAATCTTCAGAAACTGGGGAGAAACCCTCCTTTGGTTTGATAAAACCATTTCTTCTTAGCAGTTTTCCCTCAATGAACATGGCAATTCTGCTGTGCAAACACAGTGAAATGAATGAAGCTGGATGTAATCCAGGTGGCACCAGAGCCCATGCTGGAGGGGACTGCTCTTCGACTTCAGTGAGTGTTGGATTGGGCCCGTTAACGATGAATGCTTTCTGCTTTCTCTTCATATTGTCTTGTGATTCAGGGTAGAGTTTCTCTTTCTGAAACACAGGAAGCCGGAAAACTCCCTTGTACATACGGTGTGAAGCAGATTTTTGTTTTCGGTTGGAATTCTCTATACAAATAGGACATCGTGTTTGTTAGAGCACCTTTTCTGCTGATCTTTTAGTCCAGGAATCCACATCACCTTCATGTTGATATGACAGGCAAAAGCTTGTCTTTAAAATCAGGATTGGGCTAGAATGTGCAGCCCTTAAATGGGTGGTCAGCTAGTCACACCCCGAGTGTCCTGTGCGGCAACCGAAGTAAGAAACCGCTTGCAGGCGAGAGTAAGCAATTGTTGATCTGGTCTTTAGCTATATGAATATTGAAGCAATCCTGCAAATACTTCAGTGAGAAATCTTTCTGATTTAAAAATGGCTTACTTCTACCATTTTTGCCTCTTAGTAAGACAGTACTTTTTTAAAACTCTCTTGCTTTTGATAGTATAGTAGTAAATTTTTAGAATCTTTGTGGCTTTAACCTTCTGTTAATATCTGCTCTTGATTGAGTGTACATATATAAATATATATAAATATAAAAAGGGAGCCTTAATGGATTTGTTTTCATAATTTAATATTTTTGGTATTTGCTCTTGTATAATTGTTTTTAACTAAAGGTATTACAAAAATGAGGGTGGAGTACTTAGAACCAAAGTTATGCTTAATAAAATATACTA